TACACATAACATTCCGTCAGTACTTTTTTGTTTATAATTAAACACCAACATCGTGGGGGTGTTAAAAATAATAGGAAATGCCAATGGCTTGAACATTTTTTGAGGTTGTCTCATGGTAATGTTTTCTTTTTTAGAAAAGCAAACAGACGAGCAATGACGCCAATATACAGGTATCCTAGAAACGTTTAATCTCTTTAGTTTATTATATATAACTGCAGTAAACAGGATATAGAGCTGTATCTTCGGATATCACAATGTTGGCGTAGCCTTGTATTGGGTATTGTCTGTTCCAATATTTACACATTAGTATCAAAGTAAACATAAGTAGGCCTATATATATATTAAGCAGCATGACGTAGTGTTTATCAATAGTTTTTTTTATCATCATCGCTTAAAAGCCCCTTGATCAATAACTATAGGTCTATATAAGGGCATGTAATTAAGTCAAATTCATAATCTGCAATAAATTAATGGAAAATATAAATGCAGTAGGCAGAAGAAAATGAGTCGGATTTGGTATAGATTTTGTGTAAATTGATATAATAAAAGCACCCAGAACAAAAACAAAAAATTACAGTAAAAGCAAAAATACATTGGTACCGAACAAATTATCAGGATCGTTTACTGTATTCATGAGTTAAATGCTGGATTCCAGTCCCTAAACTTTGTCGTAACACTAGTAAAAATCGAGAAATTAGAGACTTGTGGATAGTTTAAGCGTCGTACAACGGCCGCACGACTATCGGGCCTACGAATTTATATTGACGCTCTGTGAAGACGCGACGCCGCCTACTGATTGCCGGTGGCGGTCTGAGCGGATCGTCAATAAAATGATCCCGTGGCGAGCGGTCGGAGCGACTCTTCATTTGTTGGAAATTGCGGAATCGCGCTGGCTGACGACCGTTTTTTGCATAGCTTCAGTTTTAACAGTGATATTTCTAAAGCTCTATCAAGACATGCAGTAGGAAATTTATGTGTGGAATTACTATATTGATAAGTGTCCTCTTTAATCCTTTTTAGTTTTTCAAAAGCCATTTCATCACAAAGGTCATTGAACACTTTAAATATCTCCACTTCAACCCAAATACTAATATCAGCTTTGTGATAAAATGGCTCTAATAGGTTTCAAAATATAGGCCTATTCTATCATAGGCCTATAAGATAGTTATCTTAGTTATCTATGCTAAATACCGTATAGCTATACGGTTAAGGCACCAAAGCATCGTTCTCTGCATTTTTGAGGTAAAGTATGTTAAGGAAATGCTAGAACCATAACGTCATACTATGTCCTGGGTTTCTGTTGTTTATGTTATTGAACTGTAAATATAGTGTACCAAAGCAAACTCAATACTACGAGGTTAGGCTAATAGACCTAACCTTGATTGTTGGATAATGTTTACAGTTTACTATCCGAATAAATAGTGACCCACGTTACTGGACGTGTGACGTCATCCCCAACTAAGTTTTAAAATAATTTGTTTGCATTATGTTTTTTAAAGAATTTTAGTCTTGTTCATTTTCATTTTATTTAAAAAGAAACAAAAAGGTTGTTGTTACTTTTGCTTGTATTTGTTTCTTGTACTCTTGTTTTTCTTTTTATTCCATGTTTTATCGACGAAATAAATGATATATATGATAGTAACTAAATCCAAGTTTATCAATGTCGTTTCTTGATGTATTATTAAACTTGACTGCTTTATATTTAGCCTAACATAATATTCATGTAAAAAGTAGATGTTAAATCCAATGTCTGTAAAACCGGTACTTTTTGCCGTAACAATTTAGTTCAAGTTTTCTGCTATTGATATTCGTAATTGTTATTTCATAGGATCATCGACATTGGCTTTTAATTTGTGCTATAATAAAGTAAATTTTTACTGTCGTTGTCTACTTTAAATGTTAATTTTCGGCAGTATAGGCCTAGGCCTTACATTCTTTATTTCAAGTGTATTAGAACAATATATCCTGGTGGCAAATTTTTGTCATCTTTATGATTTTTGGTGCTTCAGCAGGCCTAAACATATCACAA